CAGGGCACATGCTCCAGTTGCAGGCTTGATCCTCAGTAGGGGCGTGGGGGAGGCATCCGATTGATGTTTCTCTCTCACACTAATGTTTCTCCCTCTCTCTCTAAAATCAATGATAACATATTTTTAACAAAAGTCAGGAAAGTAGTTACTTGTGGGAGGATAGGGGAAGAAGTATGACTGGCAAGAGATATGAGGGGGCTTCTGAGGTGCTAGCAATATTTTAATTCTTGTGGTTATAGGAAGTATGCTTTATAATAATGTCTTAAGCTGTACATTTGTATTTAATGCACTTTGTATATGCAGGTTGTATTTCCCAATGTAAAGGCTATTAAAAAGAAAGATCAGCCCAGCTGGTGTGGCTCAGTGGTTGAGTGTTGACCCATGCACCAACAGGTCATCAGTTTGATTCCTGGTCAGGGCACATGCCCAGGTTACTGGCCCAATCCCCAGTGGGGGCATGCAGGAGGTGGCCAGTCAATGTTCTCTCTCATTGATGTTTCTATCTCTCTCTCCCTCTCCCTTCTTCTCTCACTAAAAACCAATGAAGAAAAAAGAAAGAAAAAAAGAAAGATCACTTATCATCTTTGGAAGGATATCTTACATGAATTGAAGAAGAGCAAGATAGAAATTACAGAAGGCAGTTGAAGTGGAGGAGGAAGGATTGCTATTGAAAGGATCGGTAATGACATGGCAAGAAGCAGGACTAGCTCATTGATAGTTGGGAAGGAGTAGAAAAATTTGAGAAGTATTAGACAGCAAATGGAGGAGAGAGAAAAGTTAGCATATGGTAGATAGTCTCTAAAGATGGCCCCCAACAAACCACACAGCTCTTAGTGTGGTGTCACATTGATTCTGTGATGGTCCATTAAAACTGATGAAATAAGGAAGAAATGACACTATGATTTCGAAGGCTATATCAGAGGAAGGTTTGTCTGGGTCTCTAGGAATGAGAATCCAGTTCTCATACTATGAGAAGCTCAAGCCATTCAGCTGAGCTCTTGGCTAACAGCCAGCATCACTTGCAGCCACACAAGTAAGCTATCTTGGGCTTCTAGTCCAATTAAGCCACCAGATGATTGCAGTCCCAGACAATATCTGATTTCAATGACCTGAGAGAACCAAACAAGAAGCACCCACCTGAGCCTGTTAACCATCAAAATCGTGAAAGATAGTAATAAGTTATTATAAAACTGAGTTTTGGGGAAGGATGTTACATAGCAATAACCAGAACACTCTGGTGTAGAGTAGACGAGTGTGGATGACTGGATGGATGATGATACACCTAACTGATACAAACAATATGGGAGAAAAATTAGCTTCGGGTAGGGAAAATAAGTTTAGTTTTGGACTTTGAGATGCCTGTGGAACATCTGGGTATAGTTATACAGTAGGCACTTATTTACCTTTATAAATCTGAAACCCTGGGAAGAGACCTGGGCTGAAGATAGAGATTTGGAAGACATCAGCATATAGCCATAAAGTGCATGACACTACTCAGGAAGTAGGACCAACTCTTCAAAGACTAGTCCAGACTTCATCTCCTCTCAAACCAGCTAATGCTGGTTTCCAAAGGCTAACTACTCTTTCCCCAGTAATTTGCTAGCTCTTTGAAAATATCTTTATGTACAGTCTTTACCATACTATCTGTTTATAAGTCTATCTTCCTTGATAAAATTATGAGTTGATCCAAGATAGGACTGCATTTAATCACGTGCATTATAGTCCCTGAAAGCAAGGAAACTCTCAATGAATGAATGCACAAATGAATAAGTGAATGCCTATTCACATCTTTTTCAAAATTAAATGTATTGCAGTGACATTGGTTAATAAAATTATACAGGTTTTAAGTGTACATATAGAATATATAATTATATATTCTATAATATATAATTTGTATATTACATTGTGTTTATCAACAAATGTAAAATCTCCTTCTGTCACTTCTTATATAAACAAATATCAAATAAACACATTAGGAAATGCAGATGTAAAAATTAATAAATACTGGTTGCTAATATCTTGATGAACATGCTAATTTCTTACTAAGCTAAAATAAGTAAGTGATGTGATGAAGATAGAACTGAAAAAATGTGTCTTTTGGTTTTATTCCTTTTCAGAGACTATTTCTAGTTACACTACTTTCTTTTCTTGTTTAAATTTTTTTTTCCTTTATTGATTTTAGAGAGAGAGAAAGGGAGAAAGAGAGAGAGATGGAAACAATGATGAAAGAGAACATTGATTGGCCACCTCCTGCATGCCCCTCACTGGGGATCTGGCCCACAACTTGGGCATGTGCCCTGACCAGGAATCAAATCATCAACCTCTTGGTGGATAGGTCAATGATCAACCAGTGAGCCACAATAGCTGGGCCACTAATTTATTTTCTATCTGGTATTTAATCAGGAGAGAGTTTCCTGCTAAATTTACAAATTATATTTTGAAAATACTCTTATTTTTGTTTGAATTGAGTAGTTACAAAAAACAAAAACAACCAAAAAAAACCAGAATACCTTAAGATTTCATGAATTACAGAAATCTACAGGTTTTTCTTTTTACCCAATAAAATATTTTAAATAAATTAAATATCTTCTTTTGTCTATTAGTATTGACTATTCTAGGAGGTTATTAGGACAACCTTATTCTAAAACATTTGATTTTTATAACATGGAGTGCAATGTATTTTATTTAACCCAATAAAATATAGCTAATTTATTTAGATTTTAGATTTAAAGAGTCAGTATAAGAATTTAAATCATATGCCCATAGAATACCCTATATTTTCAGTTTCCTGTCCTTCTCATATGTCAAAAAAAAAAAAAAAAAAAAAAAAAGTTGTGTTTATGACGAAGAAAATCCATTTTGGTATTATGTTATGAACATTACTTTTGGAAATGAAAAATCTGGAAGCATTTTCATTTCAAATTATCACATGTATTGGAATAAATGGTTAGAGAGTGAACTGCCAATTTTGAAGGCTGCTGAAGGCACTAAAGTATTCATCAGACAAGATATCTGCCAAACACTTCCAAAGTCCAACTCCTTCCTCAAATTACACACTAGACATAGAAGATTTATGCAATGTTAACAAAACAAGAATATTAGTAACTTAGACAGTTTGTTTGAAATCTAAACTGCTGAAATTGGGAGTAGCTATAGCCTCATCCAAGGTTAGGGGTTGATGAGAAAGTGTCTTTCTAGAATAAGTAGAATTTGAAATACTATTCAATGATCACTATTGCTGCAAAGCTGGCCAAAATTTTGATTGGGAGATTAGAAGAGTGGAGAAACTGTTAAGGATTCTAAAGGAGACTCCCCCCCCCCCCCCCGCCCCAAGTAGTCTAATTTATAAAGACTAAGCTTCTGAATTCAGTTGAGGGCTACAACCCAAGGCTCATCAAGTAACTGAGACTAATAGCCTCCAGACAAAAAGCTAGAGTATAGCTGAACCTTTCCTGGGCTTGCAAATCTACCCAGGAGAGTAACACTTGACAGTGGTGTTTAACATGGGTCCTCCCACACTCATCCAAACCCAGTAGAGGGAGCCACAAACAGCAAAATACCAACACCCACAGGGAAAATTTGGCAGGCTCCAGAACCCACTGAGACAGCTAAAATGGTGAAACAAAGAAACAAATCCTAAATGAAGGAACAAGATAACTCGACAGAAGATGAAATAAATGAAAGAGAATTGAGCAAGATATCAGAGGGAGAGTTCAGAGTAATAATCATGAGAAAGTTCAATAGCATGAGTAAAGATATAGAGAAGTATTGAAAATCAACAAACTGGAAATGAAGAATGACATAGCAGAAATAAAAAACACATTGGAAGAAATCACCAGCACAGTAGAGGAGGCCAAGGATCGAATCGGTGAATTAGAAGACAGGGAAGAAAAAATAGCTGAATCAGAGAACCAAAAAAGAAAAAAACAATTAAAAAACAGGAAGACAGTCTAAGAGAACTACAGGACAATATAAAATGTAACACTATCCGCATCATAGGAGTCCCAGAAGAAGAAGAAAATGAGCAAGGGTTAGAGAATATATTTGAAGAAATAGTGACAGAAAACTTTCCTAACTTGGTGAAGGAAAGAGGCATACAAGTACAAGAAACACAAAGAGCCCCAAATAAGAAGAACCCAAACAGGCCCTCACCAAGACACATAATAATTAAAATGCCAAAAAATTAGAGACAATGAGAGAATCTTAAAGGCAGCAAGAGATAAACAACAGGTTACCTACAAAGGAACCCCCATAAGGCTCTCAGCTGACTTCTCTACAGAAACACTACAGGCCAGAAGGGAATGGCATGGGGTAATCAAGGTAATAAAAAACAAGGATCTGAAACCTAGATTACCCTATCCAGCAAGGCTATCATTCAAAATAAGAGAAATAAAAAGCTTTCCAGACAAAAAAATAGCTAGGGAAATATATTAGCACCAAACCAGCACTGCAAGAAATGTTAAAAGGACTGCTATAATTAGTATAAGAAATAGGAAGAAAAATCTAACCACAATAAACAAAAATGGCAGTAAATAAGTACATATCAATAATAACCTTAAATGAGAACGGATTAAATGCTCCAATCAAAACACAGAATAGTTGATGGGATAAGAGAGCATATATATATGTTCTTTCTAAGACCCACCTCACAACAAAAGACTCACATAGGTTGAAAGTGAAGGGATGGAAAAAAAATCTTCTAAGCAAACAAAAAGGAAAAAAGAGCTGGGGTAGTAATACTCATATCCGATAAAATAGACATCAAAATGAAGGCCATAATTAGAGACAAAGAAGGCCACTACATAATATTGAAAGGATCTATCCAACAGGCGATATAACCTTGATAAACATATATGCACCCAATATAGGAACACCAAAATATATTAAAAGTCTTCTGGAGGACTTCAAAGGAGAAATCGACAGCAATACAATTGTAGCAGGGGACTACAATACATCATTGATATCACTGGATAGATCCTCTAGACAAAAAATTAACAAGGGCGCTTGCTTTGGCAGCACATATACTTAAATTGGAACAATACAGAGAAGATTAGCATGACCTCTGTGCAAGAATGATACTCAAATTCGTGAAGTATTCCATTTTTTTTTTCACCAGAAGGACCAAGATGTCTCATAAAATATGTCCACATGGTGTAAATTCTGAAGACCACTTGTGCCAATACCCCAGTCGAGTGTTCATTTAGGGATAACTTGTGTTACAACTTGAATCAAAAATAATAGCTAATAATTTTTCATTCTCAAAAAAGGTTAGACAGCTATGTGTGAAATGGAAAATAAAGTGACTCTATATTGAAAAAAAAATTAACAAGGATACAGACTCTAAATGATGCACTAGATCAAATGGACTTGATAAATATTTACAAAGAACTACACCCCGAAACTTCAGAATTCACATTCATCTTAAGAGCACATGGGATGTTCTCAAAGATAAACCACATTCAGGACACAAACTAAGTCTCTAAAGTTCAAGAAGATTAGAATCATATCAAGCATCTTCTCAGATCAAAATGGCATGAAACTAGAAATAAGTTACAACAAAAACATTTGAACACATGGAGGCTAAATAGTATGTTATTAAACAATGAATGGGTTACCAAGGAGATCAAGGAAGAAATTAAAAACTTTCTGGAAACTAATGATAATGAACACACAACAACACAAAATTGATGGGATGCATCGAAAGCAGTCCTGAGAGGAAAGTTCATAGCACTACAGGCCTACCTAAGGAAACAAGAAAAATTTCTAATTGATATCTAACCTCACAACTTAAAGAACTAGAAAGCAGACAGCAGACTTCTGCGGGATCCGGGAATCCTGAAACCATGGATAACCCATATATGATTTGAGACATGCATTCGATGCTTTTTTTCTGGAAGCCCTGCAACTACCCTAAAAATTGAATGTATTGTAGAACAGATCTATGGTGCCCATGGGCCATGTTTGGTTAGAAGGTGATAATCTTCAGAATTCCACAGATTCCAGGTACTATGGACCTATTCCATATGGATTAATAAGAGGACGTATCTTCTTTAAGATTTGGCCTCTGAGTGATTTTGGATTTCTACGTGATAGCCCTGATAGCCCTAATGGCCACAGATTTTCTGATGATTAGCCAGCATTTATTCTTTTGATTTTATTTTTGTCTCCTGTTTAAGTGAAGTTATTATTGCCAATAAAACCATGTACTTATTTTTTTTTTCAGTTTTTCAAGTATAGTTTTATTTTCTAATACTGTCAATAACAGCTAACATATTTTAATGCCTATTCAAACTGAAGTATAATCTAACATTTAAAACGAGAAATGTATTCTGCAAAAAGATATATTTTTCTATTTCTATGTATCACATATTTTTATGTATTTCTTCAAAAAGAGCTAGATATATTTGTAGATGATATAGTAATAGGTCAATCAATCAAGTGACAAATACTATGTCTGATGTGATTCCCTAAATTACAAACAAAAGTGTGTGTATATCTATGCTTAAAGAAAGGTCTTTATATACCAAATATCAACAGTGGTCACCTACAGAAAGATGGGGTGCAGCCCTGGCCAGTTTTTCTCAGTGGTTAGAGCATCAGCCCATGGACCAAAGAGTCATGGGTTCGATTCTAGTCAAGGGCATGTACCTCAGTTGTAGTTTGGTCCCTGGTCCTGGTTGGGGTTGTGCGGGAGGCAGCCAGTCCAGGTGTCTCTCTCACATCGGTGTTTCTCTCTCTCTCTCTCTCACCCTCCCACTCTATCTGAAGATAAATGGAAAAATATCCGAGGGTGAGGATTATAGAAAGAAAAGAAAGATGGGGTGCAGGCAAGTGCCACTTTCTACCTTATACATTCCCATATTATTAGAACTTTATGATTAATGAATGTGCACATCTGTAACTTAAAAAATAGATAAAAATAACTAACGATATTCCCATAAACCCCAACCTCCTATTTATGCTCAAGCCCCCTCCCCGGCTGTTTCTTCACCTAATCCCTCATCACCAGCTCATTGTTTGAAGAGATTCTTAAGAAAATGTTGGAGAGCTTCCCTTGTACCTGATTGTAATAATCTGTCCAAAGTTCAGCTCAAAGTTGTTAACTTGAGCGATGAAAATGGCAGCCAAAGCCTTGTAGAGGGCGGTCCCGTCCATGTTAATCGTGGCCCCCACCGGGAGCACGAATCTGGTGACACGCTTGTCCACGTTGTTGTTCTCTTCCAGGCACTTGAAGGTGATGGGCAGGGTGGCAGAGCTGAGAACAGCAACACAGGGCGGGTCAGCTGACCATCCTGGCAGTTTGGACCATGCCTGTGTCTGTATTTTGGACAGAGAGTTCCTTCCTGTTAAAGGGAACTGAGTCAGCCCTGGCTGGTGTGGCTCAGCGTTAGAGTGTCGGCCCTTGGACCAATGAGTCTTGGGTTCGATTCCGGCCAAGGGCACCTACCTCGGCTGTGGTTTGTCCCCGACCCTGGAGGGGTTGTGTGGGAGGCAGCCAGTCGATGTGTTCCTCTTGCATCGATGTTTCTCTCTCCCTCTCTCTCCCTCCCATTCTTTCTGAAGATAAATAGAAAAATATCCTCAGGTGAGGGTTAGAAAAAATAATAACAAAAATAAAGGGAGCTGAGTCAGCACTAATGTAGGTAGGGAAGCATGGTGAGGAACAGTGTGGGTCCCCTCACTGCGTCACTTGGCAACTTTACTGCTTCTGGGTTCCTCTGGGGGCCTCACTTGTCATTATTTTCCCATCACACAGCTTGTGCCAAGTGACAGCCATCTCTCCCTCAGGCGAATGTCAAGTGGGAGAGGGAGATGACAGTGGGCAGGCAAGGAGAGTTGATTCCCATTGTGTGCCCCCAAAGGGAACACAGCTGGTCTGATTAACATCGGAAGTGAAAGAGCCAATTCATATTCCTGGAAGTTAACCACCCCTCCCCCCAGTGTCTCCCTCTACCTGAACTGAGGGTTCTGGTTTGATGAGTACGTTGAGGTACCTTTTCTGAGAGGAGTAAGCCACACACACACTTACCTGGAGGAGGTGCCTAGGGCTGTGATGAGCGCTTGCAGCAACCCTCCGATAAAAACCCAGGGGTTTTTCCGGGTTACCAAGAAGTAGAGGAGGGGCAGGACAATGACGGCGTGGATGAGCAAGCCGATGATGACAGTGACAGTGTACATGGCGAGCTGGCCCCCGATCACTCCCATGTCCTCCATCTCCACGATCTTCCCTGCGATCAGGAAGAGGATGCCCAGAGGGGCGTACCTGTGCGGAAGCACACGACACCGTCGGAGGTCTGATCGCCAACGAGCTCGTCTACAGAAGCCACCGACTGGAGAGGAAAACTGGAAGGGCCCAGACGGTGCGGCTCAGTGGATCGAGCGCCGTCCCATGGGCTGAGAGGTCCTGGTTCCATTCCTGGTCCGGGCACGTGCCCGGTTTCGACCCATGTACTTATTAATAAACTTTATTTGCTAAAAAAAAAAAAACTAGAAAAGCAAACAAAAAGAAAAACCCAGAACAAGTAGAAGGAAAGAAAGAGTAAAGATCAGAGGAGAAATAAATGACATAGAGACTAAAAAAAAAGAACAATTCAAAAGATCAATGAAACTTGCCATCGCTGGTTTAGCTCAGCAGTTAGAGCATTGGCCTGTGGGCCAGATAGTCCTGGGTTTGGTTTCCCCTAAGGGCATGTACCTCAGTTGCAGTTTGTCCCTGCCCTGGTTGAGGTCAGATGGGTGGCAACCAATCAATGTGTCTCTCTCACATAATTATTTCTCTCTCTCTCTCTTCCCCCCTCTCTCCCTTCCACTTTATCTGAAGAAAAATGCAAAAAATGTCCTTGGATGAGGATAAAAAAAATAAAATTAATGAAACAAAGAGCTGGTTCTTAGAAAAGATAAATAAGATTGATGAACCCTTAGCTCCACTCACCAAGAAACAAAGAGAGGACCCAAATAAACAAAATAAGAAATGAAAGAGGAGAAGTAACAACTGACACCACAGAAATATAAAGGATCATTAACAAATACTATGAACAATTATACACCAACAAATTGGACAATCTAGGCAAAATGGACAAATTTCTAGAAACACATAGTCTCCCAAAACTGAACTGGGAGAAAACTTGAACAGACTAATAACAACTAAAGAAATTGAAGATGTAATCAAGACTCTCCCAGCAAACAAAAGCCTGGGCCCGGATGGTTTCATGGGGAAGATTTACTGAACATTCAAAGAACTAACATGCATTCTCCTCAAACTATTCCAAAAAATTCAAGAAGAAAAAAGATATCTAAACTTGTTTTATGAGGTCAGCATAATTCTAATTCCAAAACCAGATAAAGACACTACAAAGAAAGAAAACTACAGGTCAATATTCCTAATGAACATAGATGCCAAAATCCTTAACAAAATATTAGCAATTCGAATCCAGCAGTACATTACAAAAATTATTCACCATGACCAAGTGAGATTCATCCCAGGGATGCAAGGCTGGTACAATATTTGCAAATAAATAAATGTGATAAAATACATAAACAAAATGAAAGATAAAAACCATATGATCACATCAATAGATGCTGAAAAAGCATTTGACAAAATCCAGCACCTATTTCTGATAAAAATGCTCAGCAATGTGGGAATCGAAGGATCTCAACATAATAAAGTCTATACAGGAAAAACCTACAGCCAACATCATACTCAATGGGTAAAAACTAAAAGCATTTCCCTTAAGAACAGGAATAAGACAGGGATGCCCACTTTTGCCACTCTTATTTAACATAGTATTGGAATTCTTAGCCACAGCAATTTGACATGAAGAAAAAATAAACGGGATCCAAATTGAAAAGGAGGAAGTGAAACTGTCATTATTTGCAGATGGCATGATATTATACATAGAAAGACTCCCTAAAGACTCTCTATAATCTACTGGACTTAATAAATGAATTTGGCAAGGTGGCAGGATACAAAATCAACATCAAGAAATCAACAGCATTTTTATACACCAATAATGAACTTAAAGAAAGAGAAACTAAAAGAACAATCCCATTTACCACTGCAGCAAAAAAAGTTAAGATATAGGAATAAACTTAACCAAAGAAGTAAAACTATTTGGAGAAAAGTACAAGACATTGAAAAAAGAAATAAAGAAAGATCTAAAATAGTGGAAGCATATACCTTGTTCACAGATTAGAAAAATTAACATCATTAAAATGTCCATACTACCCAAAGCAATCTTTAGATTCAATGCAATCCCCATTAAAATACCAATGACATATTTCACAGAACTAGAACAAACACTCCAAAAGTTTAGATGGAACCAAAAAAGACCCTGCATGGCCACAGCAATCTTAAAAAAGAAGAACAAAGTAGGAGGGAGCACAATAATGGATATCTGGTTATATTACAAAGCCATTGTAATCAAAACAGCCTGATACTGGCACAAGAACAGGCATATAGAGCAATGGAACAGAACAGAGAACCCAGAAATTGACCCAAGACATTATGCTCAATTAATAGTTGACAAAGTTGGTAATAGTTGACAAAGGTGGTAATATTTGACAGTGGAGTAAAGACAGTCTGTTAATAAATGGTGTTGGGAAAATTAGACAGCTACATGCAAAAAAATGAAGCTACACCACCAACTTACACCATTCACAAGAATAAACTCAAAATAGATAAAGTACTTGAATGTGACTCATGGATCCATAAAAATTCTAGAAAATGTAAGCAACAAAATTTTAGACATCACATGCAGCACAATATTCACTTATACTACACCTAAGGTAAAAGAAACAAAGGAAAAAATTAGTACATGGGACTACATCAAACTAAAAAGCTTCTGCACAGCAAAAGAAACAACCATCAAAATGGAAAGGGAGCCCTGGCCAGTTTGGCTCAGCGGTTAGAGCGTTGGCCCGCAGTCCAGAGAGACCCAGGTTCAGGTCCTGCTAAGGGCATGAACTCCAGTTGCAGTTTGTCCCTGGCCCTGGTTGGGGTAGTGTGGGTGGCGGCAAGTTGATGTGTCTCTCTCACATCGATGTTTCTCTCTCTCTGTTCCTCCCTCTCTCCCTCTTGCTCTATCTGAAGAAGAATGTAAAAAAATGTCCTCAGGTGAGGATTAAAAAAAAAAAAAAAAAATGGAAAGGGAGCCCACTATATGGGAGAGCATAATTGCCAATGGTACATTAGATGAGGAGTTAATTTCCCAAATATATAGAGTATTCATACAACTCAACAAAAGGAAGACAAAGAACCCAATTAAAAAATGGGCAGAGGACCTAAATAGACACCTCTCCAAAAAGGACATACAAATGGTCAAGAGACATATGAAAACATGTACCCTTTGATCAATATCATTAATCATCAGAGACATGAAAATTAAAACAACTGTGAGGTATCATCTCACACTGTCCAGAATGGCTGCTATCAACAAATCATCAAATAAGTGCTGGCAAGAGTGTGAAGAAAAGGGGACTCCAGTACACTGCTGGTAGAAATACAGACTGGTGCAGCCACTATGGAAATCAAAATGGTGTTTCCTCAAAAAATTAAAAATTGAACTGTCATTTGACCCCAGTGATTCCACTTCTAGGAATATACCCTAAGAAGCCTGAAACACCAATCAGAAGGAATATATGTACCCCTATGTTCTTAGCAGCATTATTTACAATTGTAAGATCTGGAAACAGCCCAAGTATCCATAAATAGATGAATGGATAAAAATGCTATGGTACATATACACAATGGAACACTATGCAGCTCTAACAAAGACAAATCTCTTATCCTTTGAGACAACATGGAGAGACCTGGAGAGTATTAGGCTAAGTGAAATAAGCCAATCAGAGAAAGACAAATATAACATGATCTCACTTATTTGTGGAATATAATAAACAGAAAAAGCTGATGAACAAAATAGACCGAGAGACATAAAAAGGAGCACGGTCCATACTGACAAACTTCAGAGGAAGGGGGCAGGGGTGAGGTTTGAGATAAACCAAAGAACTTAAATGCATGTATGTGTAACCAATGGACATAGACAACAATGTGTGTGTGTGTGGGGGGCAGGATAGAAAGGAGGATGTCTGAGGGTGAAAAGGAGAAACATCTAAAAAAAAAAAAGAAGGCAAGGCTTCTGAATTATTCACTCATTCATTAAATAAAGATGAAATATCTTCTATAGTTGCTTGTCCTACCCCTTTGTGGACAGTGATGCATTTATTGTTGTTTTAATCAGGAACAAAGCTACCTACACCACGTGCTTTCTCATTGTACATGATGTATGTGACTTCCATCAATCTTGTCAACCCAAACCTTTTTCCACCTAAATGCTCCTCAACCTCACACCATGCCCCCTCTTTAAAAAAAAAAAAAATACTGGTCTGAGATCATTGGTTCTTTTTTTTTAATCCTCACTCAAGGACATATTTTCATTTTTTGTTCAGATAGAGTGGGAGAGAGAGAGAGAGAAACATCGACGTGAAAGGGACACATCGAGTGATTGCACTACCCAACCAGGGCCAGGGACAAACTGCAACCGAGGTACATGCTCTTAGTGGGAACTGAACCTGGGTCTCTCTGGTCCGCAGGCCAACACTCTAACCACTGAGTCAAACCGGCCAGGGCAGATCATTGGTTCTTGATTTTGTCTGCAAATTAGAATTACTTGAAAAGTTTTTAAAACATATAATGCCTGGGCCTACCCTTAGAGATTATAATTTGCTCTGAAGTAAGGCCCAAGCAGGAGCGTGGTTTAGAAGTTGCCCCAGGTGATTATAATGTGTAGTCAGCAGTAAAGGCCACCAGCTAGATCTCTGCCTTCTCTGAAAAATCTCTTCCTCTGCCCCACCCCCAAATCTATTTCACAATGTCTACTCAACATTCCACAGCAGCCCAAGCATCACCTCACCTCTGAGTCATTTCTCAATTGTCCCAGGAAGGAAAACCTCTCTCTCTTTGTGCCCCATTATGTACTCTGCAGTATTCCATCATAGCACCTGTAGTAAGTTAATAAACTTTTTTCATGGACAGGTCTCTGCTTCCACTGGACTATGCGCTTGTAAGTGCTGGATTTGTCTGCTTATGCCTTGTGTCAATAAGCATTGCCAGAAGGAATGAGGGACAAATATAAACTACTTTTATAACTCTATCTGCTGTGGTTTAAACCTGCAGAATCCCTTCGGGGAGTATTTCCAAGACTACTGGTATTCCAAAGATCCATAAATTCTCCAAATTCTCCACTGGAAACCTGGCAGGTGATAGTGAGGACATGGGAGGAAATGTCCAAAGCTGTAAAAATCCACCTTTAGGCCCAACTGTTGGGACTCCCTC